CTGTCTGGAAGCCTTTCACCTTGTAGCCATTGCTCTGGGTTTCTGCCATGCTGAGCCAGACCTCGAAGCACTGGTAGGCGAGGTAACGGTCGCTGACGTTTACGGCCCAGATGAAGCATGTGCCCGCATCGATGAAGGTGAGTGTATACTGCTCCCCACCGACTCCTTTCGCCGTAAGCACCAGGAAGTCGCTGTAAATCTTCTCCAGCGGTTTGTAGCGTTCGGCTCCAGGAATCTTTTCGGCGACGGGCGTGTGACGGAGCGCGGCTGCCGGGCAGACAGAGCAGTTGGGTAGGTCGGTTCTTGGTTTCAGCAGATTTCCGTCTGGCAGCAACAGTGCGTCTTCCGCAAAGACTTTTGCGTTGATGCAGTTGTTGAGCACCTCGATTGATGGGTGACCCATGCGTTGATGCCAGATGTCACCGTCGGCCCGATATCCCTTGGTGCGAGTGTATAGTTCTTTTTCCCATGCTAAGATCTCCTCTGCGGTTACCCTCCTAGTTTCTTCCGCAGGTTCGTCGGGCACGGTGATGTGGACCGCCGCTGCTTGGATTGTTGCGCCGCCATACGTCCTGTCGGTATCGCCGATGGTGACAGTGTCGATCGTCACCGGCAGCGTCGGCGGTTGTTCAGGAGATGAGGGTGAGGTCCGCTGGTGGCGATCGTCGGGTTGTGTGATCTCCCCTTCTTCGAAGGGTGTATCGTCGATCGCCACTCCCCTTGTCTCGAGGCGGAGGTAGTCTCTGCCGTCGGTTGTGATGGGAAGCAGGTGAGGTCCGTACTCCATCAGTAGCTCTTCTTCTTCTGCTTCAGGTGCTTTTTCTGTGACTTCTGGTAATTCTACCGCTTCGGTTGCCTCTGCTGCAGGTTCTTCGGCGGTGGTTCCCCATCCTGACGTCTCTGCTTCCACGGCTTCTCCCAGCGCGGTGTTGTCGATGACCCAGCGTACGTCGACCGCGTCCCACCCTTGAGTGGTGTTCCAGCCAGTAGGGTGAGCGACAGATGGCCAGGTTTGTCGCAGGACTTCTGCTTCTCCAGTTTCGGTCGTTGCGATTGCTGTGTCTGACGTGCCTTCTTCTCCTTCTTCCACTGCTTGCGTTCCTGTGCTTCCAGGATTTGTGGTTGAAGCGACGGGCACGGCGAGAGCGCGGAAGGTACCGTCGAGGCCAGGCCGCTGGTAGTCGGTCTCCTCAGGATGACTCCATCGTGGCGGCGACGGGTGTCCAGGTGGGTCAAGGACGAGGATATGCTCGTTGTCTCCAGTGGTTTTTGGTGACTCAAAGTCAAGCACGAACACTCCTTCCACACTGGTTGCCTTCCCGATGAAAATTCCGTTGTAAATCAAGTGCATCTCGTCTTCTGTTGTTTCCAGGCCGACTCCGCACTTCATCAACTGGTGGAGCGACAGAAGGTTGTACTGAAGCTCAGGTACAACAAGTACGTCGCTGATGTGGATGCAGTACCCGGTGTCGTTGGACTCCAGCTGGATCTGCCCGCGGCTATTGGCGTAGATGGTCTGACTGTTGGCAACAGTGATCTCTACTTCGTTGAAGAGCCGTTCACTGTTGAGGATGAAGACGTCCGACGACACCATGTGCTGTCCGCAACAGCTATCCAGGTACCAGGTGTTGATTTCTTTTCTTGCCTTGGCGAGGTTGGCGAGCCTTGGAGTGATGTGATGCTCCATGTCGTGCTCGTGTTCGTAATCGTATGTAAAATCCTCGTCTCCGTATGCCTCGCGTACAGGTGGTGACTCTTGGATCCAAGGCGGCATTTCCCAGTCATACTCCATGCGGCCAACTGTCAGCTCGTCGTATGTTGGGTCGTTTTCCTCCTCGTCTTCGACTGACCCTTCAGGACGCTCTTGCGGCGGGTCTGCGAACATGTCTTCCCAGCTCCGGAAGAAGCGGTAGTGTCGGTTCGGGCGAGGTGGACCTTGTCGAACCATGCAGGTTAACACCTTGCTCTTGCCTTTGTCGGTTGTGTTCGCAGAGACGCGCGCCGGAGCTTGGGATGTGCTTGCGACGGCAGGTGGCGATACGGTCTGATTGCGCATTGGAGTCCTTCCTTGCTGGTGAGAAGCGGCTCCCTTCTGGTTGTTGTTGTTGCCGTTCAGCTTCCAGCAGTCTTGGATTGTGTGTCCAGTCTTCTTGCAGTACTTGCAGAAGAGTCTTTTCTTGTCTGGTGGCGCTTGTGCGTAGAAAGCGATCTTCTCCTTCTTGTTGCCTCTCTCGTTGTACAGGTCCATTTCCTTCTGCTCGAAGAGGAGCGTTGAGCAGAGGGCAGTTTCGCTGACGGTCCCTTGAGTGCGAAGGAGCGACTTGCACTGGCGCCATTCCGGGCTTAATCCAGCGAGAATGATTGTCACGAACATGTCGTCAGGGAAGTTTCCGCCGCTTTTCCTGAATTGGTCTCTCAGGTTTCTGCAGCGGTTGATGTAGGATCCGGCCTTTTCGCCGGGAAACATCTTGACATTGTTCAGCTGGTTGAGCAGGCGACTGAGCGTCACCGAATCTGTTGCCATGTGGCAGGTGCGCAGGTGTTCCCAGGACTGTTGCGCGGGTGCCCACTCGTTCTTGAATGGACGGATGCTCAGCTGTTCTTCAGGCGACAGGTTCCGGATCAGGACGGTGAAGGCTAGGAGAGACTCGTTGTAGTATTGCGTCTTCTCCTGAGGTGAGCCGTTGGTTGGGAAGGGGTATGAACCGTCGTAATACATCCAGATCTGGGCGCCTTGAGCTAGTAGTTCGAATTCGAAGCTCCAGGTGTAGAAGTCTTGTCCGTCGAACGGTTTTGTTGTCCTGAGCTTTGACGTGGACAGGAACTTGCTCTGCATTGACGCCATTGTCTCGAGATGCGCCTGTTGTGCTTGAGCAGGTCCTGGAGCTCCGCGATTGTCGAAGGTGAAGGATCGTTCAGATCCAGCTCCTTGAGGATCGGGAGGTCTTCGGGCGTAGCTGGAGCCGTCAATGCTCATTGGCTGATGGCTCTCCAGTGCGCTGATGCGGGAAATCAGCTGCTCGAGGAGTGCTGTGTCCTCGGTTGTTGTAGTAGAGGTAGCATTAGTGGACGGGTACTGGATTCTCTCCAGTTTCTCCGCAGTCGGCGCCTGGCATGTTTGCTTGCCCTTGTAGTAAGTTATATGAAGAGTTACATTCTGAGAAGAGGTCTTTTTAATAGTTCCTATAATCCAAACTGGCTCTCATACCATGCTAGAGTAAGGATCTTTGGATAGGATAGGAAGTGCACTGAGATAATTGGTAGCGGAAGTCTTGGTAGGAACCCTTGATCATAGTGAATGTAAATGAAAAGGTTGATTGATTGATAGAATACAAGCAAGATAAATAGTCCTAACTAGCCATGTACTCTAAGGGGTACATTCCCTTATTATAACTGTTTTACAGGCAGTGCTACAGTGACTCTGACTATTACATTTCCTTTCTTGTTACCGAGTCGCTGCTTGTAACCGTGCGTACGGTTACGCCTGTTGCCATTCCTCGATGGTGTCAGAATCCCAGCCACTAACCACTGGGATAAAAGGGCTTGTTTGTGTAGCGGGTGAGTGCGCCCATAACCCCCCAGGTCAACGTGCCTGTAACCCTTCCTTAGGATCATCGGGGATCACCAGTGGACCTCTGACACCCCCCCGCACTGGGATGCCCGAGGTGCACACACCGGGATTCGAACCCGAGACCTTCGCTCTGATACCATGTCAGAATCCCAGCCACTAACCACTGGGATAAAAGGGCTTGTTTGTGTAGCGGGTGAGTGCGCCCATAACCCCCCAGGCCAACGTGCCTGTAACCCTTCCCTAGGATCATCGGGGATCACCAGTGGACCTCTTACAGATGGTAGGTCAATCGTCGGTCCAGATAGTCAACAGTCGCGACAGTTGACTCTTGCGACTGTTAACTTTCCTGCATTGATATAGGCTGATCCGACATCTGCTGTTCGCGCTGCTTCGATGGTGGCAGGTGCGATGTTGCTGCACCTTCGGGAATGCTTACGATTCCCTTCATACTCCAACACTCCGCCTCGACAATCCCCAGCCTAGGCGCTAGGCTTGTAGCGCACCCCACTTTTCACACATTACCGTTACCACGCTAGCTTCAGTATATATCTTACGCTCATGCCTTTGCTCAATATACTGTTTTGCTTCGATAGTGCAGTTCTCGCTAGCTCGCTTTGCACCTGTGGTAATTCTCGACAAACTAAAAACCCGACTTCTCTTATTCAACAAGACTCCCTACCTACTCCCTCTTCAGACTCCAGCCCCCAGCCATATTTTAGAGTATTTTCTACGTATATGGAGCTGGTAAAGCGGCATTGTCTCTAACCCTCACAGCTTTGCCGAATTTTTAACGTTTCCCTCACCACGCTCTTACAATGCTACTGACTCGGGACAACTCCTGAGCCAAGCCAGAAATTTGCAAACGGTAAACAAATACAACGATACCCTGTTTCATATTCAGAGCGGAAAAGCGTCACGTATTCGTCGCCGGCATTCGCAATCCCAACGTTCGTCTCTAAAGCGGCAAAGGAGGCGGTCTTTAGGGAAGCGTGGTAGAATAAACCGCTCTCAGAGGACTTTCTGCACGAAAATTGTTCTGGGTGCATCAGTTCCCAGTGCAATACTTATGACAACCTCTCAGCTATAGCCTCGCGGTAGCGCGTGTTCGCATTGGCGGAGAAGTCTCAAGATGCAACATTTTATTCGTGCATTCGTGACGGGACCAACAAGTCGTACGACACCATGGGATGACCTGACACTTCCAAACCCTCAGCGCTTGGAATGGGAACCCCAAAATCGGCCGATGATGGACGAGCGGGAACGAGCGGGGCGAGAGAGGGCAAGAGCTGAGGGCCATGCTGAGAAGCTTCCGCTGCTGTGTCGGGCGGACATGGTTCACTACCTGGACGTGGGCGAAGCGTGGGGCGTGGCTGTGTGCGAGTGCTGCTTCAATCGGGCTCTCAGCCAGCGCGCACAGCGCGCCCTCGACATGGCGACTCTCAAAAAATTCCGTTATTACCTGCGAGAAACGCAGCCCGCGTCCATCCCCCTCGCTCCCAGCCGTCCGACCCAGGCTGTGTATGAGTTCTCGTTGAAGATCCCTTTGCCCGAGGCAGCAGCGCACCTGGGAGCGCCGCCTGACAAGCATTTCCAAGTCAAGTGTGATGCGGCGCCTTTGCTGTGTGTGGAAGCGATGCTGCTCGAGTGGATGGCTGAGCCTCGTGTGGGCGTGCTCATGGACCTGGGGAGGATCAGATCCCGCCTGCCTGCTATTCTAAGCGCCGCAGATGCCCGAACTACTAGAAGAGCTTCCCCTGCTGCTGCTTCTTCTGGTTCCTCTTCCTCTGTTGGAGCCTCTCCAGCAGGGTCCTGCTGCTGGCGCTGCAGCAGCTGCTGGGCTGCCTACCGCCGGGCCGTCAGCTTTGCTGCCTGCCTCGTGCTTGTAGCGAGGTGCCCGCGGATTGTGACCCTATGCAGGGCGCATGCCGCAACTTCGAAGGCGTATCCAGCCATTGTGACTGCGCTAGGGGCACGCAGGCAGATGGAGACGGACCCTTTTGCTTCCATGCTGGTTCAGATCCTTGGTGTGAAAGAATCCTGGGACCTGGAGGAGGGATTTGGTGCTCTCATGCAGAACCTGCTGTCTGGTGGGCTGGAGAAGGCGCATGCAGAGAAGGAAGGGAGAGGGGGGACAGGAGTTGGAGGGCAGATGGAGCATGATGGGAATGAAGAAGGGTCATGGATGGACAGTGGTGGCAAGGATGATAGGGATGGGGAGGGCGGGCAGTGGACGGAGCATCTGAAGGGGCGTGAGTGGGAGAGGTATGTGGATGGTATGGCTTGGATCCTGGAGCATGGTGGGGGGGAAGGGAGTGAGTTCCGGTGCAGCCACTGCAGTGAGGGGAGCGGCGGCAGCGGCGGTAGCAGCAGCAGCAGCAGCAGCAGCAGCAGCAGCAGCAGCAGCAGCAGCAGCAGCAGCAGCAGCAGCAGCAGCAGTGTGGGTGCGGCAACATTTCCCAAGGGCATGTATGTGAGTGGCGTGGGTGCGACCGACTTTGCTCTTTCCGTTGCTGCTGTGCTGTCCACGCCACAGTACCGCAAGGAGAGTAGCTTTTACTTCCAAGACGGCAACACTGCGAGCAAGACACGCGTGGAGGATGCAGCTATTGAGACGGCCAGGGAGAGGCTGAGCAGGATGGCATGGGGTGAAGGAGGGGCAGCAGGCAGAGGTGTGGAAACAACAGCATCAGCACTACCACCGGCATCAGCACTATCATCAGCATCAGCACAACCACCAGCATCAGCACTACCACCAGCATCAGCACTACCATCAGCATCAGCACTACCAACAGCATCAGCACTACCAACAGCATCAGCACTACCAACAGCATCAGCACTACCAACAGCATCAGCACTACCAACAGCATCAGCACTACCAACAGCATCAGCACTACCAACAGCATCAGCACTACCATCAGCATCAGCACTACCATCAGCAATGGCAGCGGCATTTGCCAGCCCAACTCCTGTGAACACAAACCCTGTCGTTGCAGTCTTCACGTATCGTGCTGCCTGCATTCTGCGCTGGGCCCGCACCTATGGGTTTGAAATGGTCCCAGCTAGTCAATGCTGCAAGGGCAGCCCCCAGGGGAAGGTCCGGCCCATGCGTCACCCGCTTCGGGACCTCCCGAGCCTGCTGGTCGGGCTTGGCGCCATCCCCAAGCCTCTGGACCAAGGCGAGTTTCCCTTGGAGTGGGAAGAGTGGCCTCGGGGCGAGGAAGTTACTGCGAAGCTTCCTGATGATGCCAGTGCTAGGTTCTTCCACCTGGGGATAGTGGAGGAAGCGAGGGGGACAGTGGGGGAGCGTGGGGCAGGAAAGAAGGGCGGACAGGGGTCAAATGCAGGAGGTAAGATGGGGGACGCGAGGGGGAAAAGAGGAGATAAAGGGAGGGGCAGGCAGGAGGGAAGGAGGAGAGGGCGTGGGGAAGAAGCGAGAGTTGGAGGAGTGGAGTGTGACTTAGACGAGAGGCTGCCACAGCAGCTGCTCACAAGGCTGCTGCCGCTTGTGCAGAGAAAATACCCCATCGTTCGCTGCACTGCCGATGCCGAATTCCTGGTGGAGTTTGCGGGGTATATGGTGAAGCCTCCTGCATGCGCTGAGTGCAAGCAGTGTTTTGCTCTCTACCGCCGTAACATCCCCTTCCTCGCGGTCATTGCCAACTACGCCTACCGACCTGCCTCCATCCTTTTCAAGCGCTTTGTATCCATCTTCCCTCCTCTCTCTCCCGAATTCGACCAGCTCGCCGCGCATTTAGGTGTGCCGCCTTTCTCTGCCAGCATGCCTGGCTTTCTCAGGTCGGCGCTGGTGCACACTCATGCCGAGCTTGCTCCTGTGCTCTTCCTCTTGGCGGTGGCCCACAAATGGGCTTCCCCCATCCTGGGAACCACTGGTCGCACGTTCCTGCACAGGCCGCGAGTCGCAAAGGAAGAGGACGGCGGGGTGTGGGAGGAGGTGCAGATGTGGTGCCGGGCGGTGGAGTTGGCATGGCAGGGCTGCATGACGCTGGGGGGCGGGGCATTGCGTTGGATGTGCAAGGGAGAAAAGAAGTGGGCCGGCTGGTTTGGAGCGGAGGGAGAGGAAACGACGAGTGACAAGTGGCATGAGCTGTGGAAAAGGGCCGCCGTTCCCAGGTTCTGTGAAGATGAAAGTGAGAGACGGCTTGCTGAATGTACCAGTGGGAGCAGCAGTCGCAGCGACAGCTCCGGAACAAGCAGCTATAGTCGCGGAAATGACGGTAACAGTGGGAATCGATGGACGAGGGAGGATGATGAGAAGGGCACGCAGGGGGAGGAGCCGGCTTATTTGAAGCCATGGCCAGGGGGAGTCAATTTGCTGGCATGTCTGCGAGAGATGCTGCTGGGGGAGCCGTGCTACCGCCCTGCCTCCCCTGCTGCCCCTTCCTCCCCTGCTACCAGCACAGTTGCTGGTCAATCAGCTCCTGAAGGCTCCGTTCGGCAGAGAAAAACCAGTGCAAAAGACTGTAATTCTGCTCGTTTGGGAGGGGCTGTGTGTGGTGCTCTGGGGTGTGAGAAGGCTCAAGGTGGTGGTGTGAAGCTGAGGAGGTGCCGTGGGTGTGGCAAGGTGGCGTATTGCAGCAGAGAATGCCAGAAGGCACACCGGCCCTTTCATAAGCCCATGTGCAAATCCAAGGCCAGTGGCATGGTGAGTTTTGGGTCCACTCTGAAATCACAAAGGTGCGCTGGCCCTTCCATAAGCTCATGTGCAGATCCAGTGGCATGGTGAGTGGCCAGACCTGTGTGTTTGTCTGTGCAAGGATACAAGCTTCAGAGGCACTTCAATATTGGCAAGGTCATTGCTACCACCACTGTTCTGGCATGTTTCACCACTGTTCTGGCATGTTTCACCACTGTTCTGGCATGTTTCACCACTGTTCTGGCATGTTTCACCACTGTTGTGGCATGTTTTACCACTGGTGCCAGAACAGCGGTGAAATATGTGAGAGGCGCAAGGCACGGCATTGAATGCTAAGCAGTGGTGTTGTGAGTCCATTGATGAGGTTCATTCTCAGAATGGTTTTTAGCACTTTTAGAAGTGTCATGCATGTGAATGTTGAGAGGGTTGATAGTGACGGTGGGATATGGTGGGGTGTGGATAGTAAGAGGTTGAGTGGGAAATGTGGGGTGTTTGCGCACACAATGGGAATGCTAGGGTTTTCCTCCCTCCCCCAGTGAATACACACACACACACACACGCACGCACGCACGCACGCACGCACGCACACATGCGCGCGCGCACACACACACCCACACACGCACACGCGCGCGCACACACACACACAAAAGAAGGCCAGATTGGTTTCGCAATTAATTTCTGGTCTCTGGTCCTTCTTGCCTGTGAAGGCGCCTCATCCATCACCCAATGTCTTGCCTGCCTTCCTGTCTTCCCTGCCAGTGGCAGCTCTCAGGAGTGTGGTGTGCAGGCTTTGGGTTCATGTGTCTGCTCTTGCTGCTATGCCTGCTGTGGCACCTGATGGGGTCGCCTCGCCTTCCTGCGGTTGCCTAACTTCACTTGCTGCTGAGACTGGTCGTATTTTATATCATCATTAAGAGGTGGCTGCTTGTGGTTAGATGTGCATGTGTTTCACTTCTTCCTTTCTTCACATCTTCTCGAACCTTTCATGTTCATAGCTGGGGTGGTACCGTAATCCCCCGTATATAAGTCTCTGAATGTGGCTACAGCGGAATGAGTTGCATTAGACAGATTGGGGTACATATTCAAACCCTAACTGTTTGTACCTCCTATTGCACAACCCACTAATGGCTAGAACATTTGACACACCCCCATAGCCTAAGTGGGGAGTGCAAAGTAACAACAAACAACCTAAGGTCACAAGACCAGTCATAAACAAGAGACAAAACAAAGCTCAGGGTGGATCACAACGTCACCACACAGTCTGAGCGCAAACAGCGGCCACAAGGCCAGTTCAAGAGTGTATATGCAAATATATGCAGTACAAGCAAAGACAAGAGACAAGCACTCACTACTGCAGTCTACTCGACCCAGTCTCAACGAGGCCCAACTGCAGACAGAACCGGCGGTGGTCACAAGGCTGAAGAGCCTTGGTGAAAATGTCTTCAGTGTTGGCCTCGGAGGCCACGAAGTCCAGACGAGCCTGCCCGCGTCTCTGCAACTCTCGAAGGAGGAAGTACCTGACGTCGATGTGCTTCACTCTGCTCTCCAGTCGAGGCTCACGACACAGGAGAATCATCGCCCTGTTGTCAGCAAACAGGGTCGGTGCAGAGCTCGGCCGCTCACCAAGGTCAGTGAGCAAAAAGGTCAACCAGCGTAGCTCCTGAGCAGCAAGGGCCCCAGCGTAGATCTCGGCCTCTGCGGTAGAAGTCGCAACCGAGGAGGACCGAGTAGACCTCCACGAAACAGCTCCAGAACCCAGGCTGAAACAGTAACCCTGCGTAGACCTCTGAGTCTCAACGTCGTCGGCGTAGGAGGAGTCGCAGTGACTGGTGAGTACAACTGGCTGTGTCCCTCCAAGTACAAGCCCCATGCCTGATGTCGCGCCAAGGTACTTCGCCACCCTCTTAGCCGCCGCCCAGTGAACAGGACGGTGTCTCCCAGTCGCAACAAAGCGAGACAGGATGCTAAGAGGGAAGGCGAGGTCCGGGCGAGTGCACGTCATCAGGTACATGAGGCAGCCCACCAGCTCTGCGTAGGGACCATTGGGCGCGAACGGTTCGTCAGGAAAAGGCCCAGTGAGTCTGTGGTCTACAGCAAGAGGAGTGGGGGCAGGAGAAGAGTCCTGAAGCCCGAACCGCTGAAGGACCTGCTGCACCATGTGTGACTGAGTCAGAGTGATGGTGCGAGCGGCTCTGTCCCTGGAGATCTGCAGGCCAAGGTAGCGGCGCAGTTCCCCAAGGTCAGTGCAGGTGTGTCTCTTCTGCAGTTCGGACTTCACCTCCGCCAGTGCAGCTGTGTCGGCTGTGGCAAAAACCAAGTCGTCAATGTAGACCAGAACGAAGAAAGGTGTGCGCCCACGACGAACAAACAGCGACGGGTCGGCGGAAGACGGCTCAAACCCGAGGTCGGAGAGAGTAGAGCGGAGAGTGTCGTGCCACTCACGGGGTGCCTGGCGGAGACCGTAGACCAGTCGTCTGAGGCTCCACTGGGTCCCAGGCGGGAAAGTGCCAGTGAAGCCCGGAGGACGACGCAGCCAGATCTCCTCGTGTAGGCGGCCCTGGAGGAAGGTGTCAGAATATTATGCTCTAGCCTGCAGTGGGGTGCTCTATAGCGAGTACAACCCTTCTAGGGTTAGCTATTTGTACCACCATTGTTGCTAGTGCAACCCCTCCTTTGCTTCATTCTCTCTTGCCTAGCTAGGTCAACCCTAGCTATGGCTCCTCATCGTGCTTACTATCTCGACATGCTATCAGAGCAGGACGATCCAGTTGGGTCGATCCTGTGGGTGGGCCCCACCACCTCAGTCTTCCGCTGCTCCTACTACTGTTTGTGTCGCACGCCCCGTGGCGTGCGACGGATTTTTCATCCCGCCGCGCGCTCGGGGCGTGCGGCGGTTTTCTGCCTACCGTGCGCCCCGGACGCGCGGCGGTTTCCTACCGTGGGGGACCCCCGCGCGCCCCCGATTTCCCGTCCCGCTGCCCTGGGGAGCCGCGCGCGACCCCCCCGCGGCCCCGATTTCCCGTCGCCCGCGGCCCCCCGTTCCCGTCGCCCGCGGCCCCCCGTTCCCGTCGCCCGCGGCCCCCCCGTTCCCGTCGCCCGCGGCCCCCCCGTTCCCGTCGCCCGCGGCCCCCCGTTCCCGTCGCCCGCGGCCCCCCGTTCCCGTCGCCCGCGGCCCCCCGTTCCCGTCGCCCGCGGCCCCCCCGCGGCGCCCTACGGAGCCGCGCGCGGCCCCTCGCTGCCCCGTGGTGGCGTCCTGGGGGCCGCGCGCCGTCCCCCTCGCCGTCCCCCGCGCTCCTTCCCCCGTTCCGCCCGTTTTAGGGTTTGGGGGTGAGGAGTGTGGGGGTGGCGGCTATGGGGGTGTCGGTTGTGAGTTACTCCTCCTGCTCCTCCTCCTCCCTCGTCTCCCTCTGCTACAGCTGCCGCTGAGGGGGGTGGTGTGTGGGAGCCTAGGGTTTGGGGTTTAAGGGGGGTACCGTGGGAGTGGAGCTAGGGTTTGAAGCAGGGGGTGTGTGTCGAGGGGTGTGGGACTGTTGGGGGAGGTTGAGCGGAGGTTGCCGTCGTGTCGTACGCAGCGCCTGTACTCCGGGGCACTCATTCCCGGTAGCTCAGAGAGCCGGTTGCGCCGTCGCCTGTGGGTCCGTTGCTCCTGTCGCGCGTATTAGCCGCGGAGCCTGTTACTCCTGTACTCCGGGGCACTCATTCCCGGTAGCCACTGTGTCGCACCAGAGCCGTCTGTTGCCCGTGTGTCTGCAGCTTCAGTCGTCGCCTCCTAATCTACTCTCCTCTCGCCAGCCCTCCTCCTCCTCACTTACCCTCTGTGACTGCCTCTAGCTTTACTCATAATTGTGAACTTTAAACTATTCCTTCTTGAACTTGTGCTCAGAATGTGTGGTGACATCGTGATCCACCCTGAGCTTGTACTGCTTTGCTAGCTCTGCTGATTACACCCCACTTTGGCTATGGGGGTGTGTCAGAATATTATGCTCTAGCCTGCAGTGGGGTGCTCTATAGCGAGTACAACCCTTCTAGGGTTAGCTATTTGTACCACCATTGTTGCTAGTGCAACCCCTCCTTTGCTTCATTCTCTCTTGCCTAGCTAGGTCAACCCTAGCTATGGCTCCTCATCGTGCTTACTATCTCGACAGAAGGCAGTGGAGAAGTCAAGAGAGTGAAGCTCGTAGTCTCTCTGCGCTGCTACGTGCAGTAACACCTGAAGAGTGGTCATCTTCGGGGTGGGCGCGAAGGTCTGAAAGAAGTCAACTCCCTCACGCTGACTGAACCCTCTAGCCACGTAGCGTGCCTTGAAGACCGGAGGAGATCCCGGCGGCCGCTTCACCTTGAAGATCCACATGCCGTCAACGATGTTCGCCCCTGGGGGGGGAACCTCGTCAACGTAAGTGCCTGTGGACCTGTAGGAGGCCATCTCTGCGTCCATGGCAGCTCTCCACTGAGAGGCCCAAGGCCCTGACACTGCCTCAGCGTAAGTGCGAGGAGTAGGTATGTCAGGAGCGTCGGGGTCTCCCTCAGGAGTGAGCAGCATGGTGTTGGAGGTTGCGTGTGGGGGGGGGGGGGGGGGGGGGGTTGCCCCCAACCACCGAATGTGTTGCTTCCGAATGTGTTCATTGCAGGTTTCGTGAAGTTGTGGGTTGACTTTGGAAGACCCACTCAAGTGATGCCACATGGCAGCATCAGGAAGAATCGAGGTTGAAGAGAAATTCGGTTCGGTGAAATTCGGGTACCGAATTTCACCCCTTCGAATTTGTTACGCGAATGTTCGCGATACACCTCGTAGTGCCTAGAATGTTACATGTGCGATTCGAGAAATTCCAGTTGCTATAAATGTGCTCGACTTGTATGCATGTTTCATACTGAAAAACAGAGTTCATTGTACACAGTGCAATTCGACCAAAATCCAGAGAGCTCCTATCTTTGAGTCTAAGGGCACTACCTAGCACATAAACAGCTATATCTCACTCGATACTTGGGCGTTCGAGGTGATCTATGGCTCGTTGGAAAGCTACAAGAGTGCTCTACTGCTTAGTACAACCTAGAGTTCCTGTTAACTAGAGGTCACGCCTCTACATCACAGGTATCAGAGCTGGTCGGAGGAGTCTACGCGCGCGACGAGTGGCGAGCATGATGACGTCAAGCGAAGCCTCCGGTACTTCCTCGGGTGGTGTCGTTGTCAATTCCGGCGAACCCTGGGCAACCGCGACGATGTTCGACACGTCGGCGGTACCGATTTTCACGGGACAAAACTACTCCGCGTGGAAGTTTAAGTTCCAAGTGCTCATGATGGAGCGGGGACTTTGGGGTCTCATCAAAGGAACGGAGAAAAAGCCGACGGACGACGAGAGCGCCATCGCGGCATGGAAGAAGAAGGACCAAAAGGCGTTCGCTACGCTAATCTCGCGGATCGGCATCAACCTCGTGAGCTCGGTGCGCACGTGCATCAAGCTCGAAGCGTCGGCGCATGAAGCGTGGAAGCGGCTCGAGACAATGCACGTGAACAAGACTCTCCACGGCAAGATCCTAGCCCGGAACGCGTTCTACACGGTGAAGTTGCGCGCGGGCGAATCGATGCACGAGTATGCGACTCGTGTGGAGGAACTCGGGGAAACATTCTTGGACCTCGGTGGAACGGTCACGGAGGAGGATTGGATTCTCACCTTGCTTTGCGGCCTTCCGGAAGAGTGGTCGACTGCGATTACGACACTCGATAGCGTGCAAGGCACTTGGACGAAGGAAATGTGGTTGGTCGGCTTCTCCATGAGGAATCGCGTCGCCGACAATTCGCTAATGAAAGTGTGGAGACCGCCATGTTCTCCAGAGGGAGTTCCGGAGGAAAGTCCAAGTGGAGCAAGGGTGCGACGAAGAAGTCGTACGGTGGAAGCGATCGCGGCAAGGGGAACACATCAAACGGCGCGAGCAAGTGCCACTATTGCGGCAAAGCGGGACACTTTTGGCGAGAGTGTCGGAAGCGGCCGAGCGATTGGACTCCATCGAAGGCGCGGAACCACGAGGGCAACGCGCACACGGCATCCGGCGAGGCGGATGATACTGTCAAGATAGTAAGGACAGTGAGAAGCCATAGCTAGGGTTGACCTAGCTAGGCAAGCAAGAAATGAACAAAGGAGGGGTTGCACTAGTAAGAATGGGGATACAAATAGCAAACCCTAGAAGGGTTGTACTCGCTATAGAGCACCCCACTACAGGCTAGAGCATAATATTCTGACACACCCCCATAGCCAAAGTGGGGTGTAATCAGCAGAGCAAGCAAAACAGTACAAGCTCAGGGTGGATCACAATGTCACCACACATTCTGAGCACAAGTTCAAGAAGCAATAGTTTAAAGTTCACAATTATGAGCAAAGCCAGTGGTAGTCACAACGGGCAAGTGAGGAGGAGGAAAGAGACTATGAGAGGAGAGGAGGTAGTGGGCGGCAGCTGAAGCTGCTGGCACACGGCGCAACTGGAGCAACTGGCACACGGGCAACTGGAGCAACTGGCACACTGGCAACTGGAGCAACTGGCACACGGGCTACTGGAGTAACTGGCTCCGCGGCTGAAAGTAGCGGCAGACGAGCAACGGACTCACGGGCGACTGGAGCAACGGGCTCACGGGCGACTGGCGCAACGGGCTCACGGGCGACTGGCGCAACGGTCTCACGGGCGACTGGAGCTGCTGGCTTCACGGCGGCCACCCCCTTCAACCTCCCCAAACTATCCCACTCCCCCTGACACACACCCGCTGCTACACCGCTAGCTCCACTCCCCCTTCACCCACCTCTTAGTACCACTCCGACGGCTCCAACAGGTCCACCCCCCTCAGCGGCAGCTGCAGCACAGGGAGACGGAGGAGGAGGAGGAGCAGGGAACGGCACACAGAAGCTGCACCCCCATACCCCCCACCCCCAAACCCTAATCCAGGAGTACGGGCAGAAGGAGGGGTGGGGCGCCTTCAGAAGCACGGGGGACAGCGGGGAGGACAGGGGCAGCGAAGAACGGGCCGCCCACGGGTCTGGCACAGCCTCCCGAACCGCGCGCAGGCGGCCCAAGCCGCGCGCGGGCCTGGCGCAGCCCGTACGGGCCGCGCGCGGGCCTGGCGCAGCCCGTACGGGCCGCGCGCCGGCTGTACGGGCCGCGCGCAGGCCACGACGGGCGACGGGGGGCGACGCGCGGGTCCCCGTCGCCCGTCGCAGCGCCTCCCGGGAGCAACGCGCGGTGTGACGGGGCAGAAACCCGCCGCGCGCCTCGGGGCGCACGGCGGGCAGAGAACCGCCGCGCGCCTCGGGGCGCACGGCGGGCAGAAAACCGCCGCGCGCCTCGGGGCGCACGGCGGGCTGAAAACCCTAATTTCAACGCCGCGTACCACGAGGCGCGCGGCGGACAGGGAGTAGCAGTAGCAGCGGAAGCAGTGAAGTGGTGGGCCCACAGGACAGGAGCGTAACCGCTCTGTTACCATGTCAAGATAGTAAGGACAGTGAGAAGCCATAGCTAGGGTTGACCTAGCTAGGCAAGCAAGAAATGAACAAAGGAGGGGTTGCACTAGTAAGAATGGGGATACAAATAGCAAACCCTAGAAGGGTTGTACTCGCTATAGAGCACCCCACTACAGGCTAGAGCATAATATTCTGACAGATACAACGGAGTCGATCGTGTTATTGGCCGGTGACGGGACCAACACTCCAAACGACGCGTGGTTCCTCGACACCGGCGCAACGCAACACATGACGCACTCGGCATCGTTCCTCACCAACGTTGGTGCACCGCGGGACGTCAAGCGTGTCGTCTTCGGGAACAACAAGTCGCTACCGGTGGTTGGAGTTGGGAGTACGCGTCTCATCGTCGATGGCGGACCGGTTGACATCACGAACGTGCTTCACGTTCCGGGGTTGAAGGTGAATCTACTCTCCGTCACTCAACTCGCGAAGAAGGACGTGAAGGTCACCATCGACGGCGAGACGATGAACCTCTTTTGGAAGGGGAAGCAATTCGCACAAGGCGTTCTCAACGGAGAACTCTACCAACTCAAGACGCACCCGGGAGTGGCTTCACCCAACGTGGCGCAAGGTTCAAAGGCGACTCTTAAGGCGTGGCATAATCGGCTTGCGCACGCCAACTACGACTCGGTCAAGGAGTTGGTCAACAAAGGACTCGCGAAGGGAGTCAACGTGATCGCCGGCGACGACGAGAAGGGCGTGTGCGCGGCGTGTGTCGAAGGAAAAATGGCTCGCAAGCCATTTGGTAGCCGTACCTCTCCCCTCGCTAAGGACCCGCTTGTGCTTGTTCACATGGATGTGTGTGGACCGATGCGAAACGCATCAAAGGGAGGAGCGCGGTTCCTCTTGGTGATGCTCGACGACGCGACGCGGATGTGTTGGACCCGACTCTTGAAGGCTAAGGGAGATGCGGCCAAGGCGATTCAAGAGTGGGCGCTCGAAGTTTGCGACGACGACAAGAAGCGGATCAAGGTCATTCGTACCGATGGTGGCGGCGAATTCGTAAACGCGGAGCTCGAGAAATGGATGAAGAGCAAGGGCATTAAGCACGACGTCACAACACCCTACACACCCCAACAAAATGGAGCGGCGGAACCGCTTAATCGCACATTGGTGGAAGCCGTTCGTTCTCTTCTTCAACACTCCAAGCTTGGGAGCGAGTGGTGGGGTGAGGCGAGTTCGCTAGCGGCGTGGATTCGCAACCGTTTGCCGAAGAGGGTGCTCCCGGGAACGACTCCGTTCGAAGCATGGACCGGAACGAAGCCGAACCTATCCCGCCTACGCACCTTTGGGTGCCTTTGCTACTACCATGTACCGGATCCCCTTCGTCACAAGTTGCAACCGAAGGCTCGTGCGGCAATCTACTTGGGAGTTGCGGCGAACGAGCGTGCGTGGCGCGTGTGGGACTTGGGTGAAAGGCGCGTCGTCACATCTCGAGACGTGATGTTCGACGAAGACAAGTTTCCGACGAAGGAACAACCAACGCCGCAACTCACCGTCGTACTTCCCGCACGAGAGGAAGATGAAGCGGTGGAGGTTCCATCGCAAGAGAAGGAAGCCGAGAATGGAGGGGGAGAGAACGAGGAGTGCGATGACGATGTCGTGGAGGTGCCACCAACCGAGGAGGCAACTTCCTCCGCACCTTCTTCCCTACCATTGGCGTTGACCCGTGGGCGTCGTACACCTCGCCCCAACACGAAGTTAGCCGACTACGCTACGGTAGCCGTTGGGGAGTTGGATGAGGAGCGTGCGGCATATTGCTTCGCCACCATGAGAGATGACCCTCGCACCCACACGGAGGCTTTGGCTTCTCCGGATGCGCCGCTATGGAAGCAAGCGATGGAGAAGGAGCTAGCATCGATCAAGGAGAATGACGTGTTCGAGCTCGTCGACCCGCCGAAGGGTGCCTACTTGGTGGGGTGCAAATGGGTGCTTAAGAAGAAGTTGGGAGCCGATGGGAGTGTCGAACGCTACAAGGCGCGGCTTGTAGCTCAAGGGTACACTCAACGGGAGGGGGATCATTATAGTGAGACCTTCGCTCCCGTCGCCAAGGCTACAACTCTTCGAGTGTTGCTCGCGCTAGCGGCATCGCTTAACCTCGAGGTGGAGCAATTGGACGTTTGCACCGCCTTCCTCTACGGGCTTCTTATGGAAGAAGTCTACATGCGGCAACCCCCGGGGTACGATGACGGTAGCGGAAGGGTGTGGAAGCTCAAGCGTACCCTCTATGGCTTGAAGCAAAGTCCGCGTGGATGGTACAAGCGCATCGACGACTTTCTTCTTCAACACGGCTTCGCGCGTAGCGAGTGCGATAGCGCTTTGTACGTGTTGAAGGAGGGGGAGAAGCAATTGGTGCTTTTGCTCTACGTCGATGACTTACTCCTCTTCTCCGACTCCAAGGACCTCATTCGGGAGGTCAAGAAACGGCTAGGGGCGGAGTTTGCTATGAGGGACTTGGGGCCGGTCACGTACTACCTTGGGATGCACGTTGACCGTGACCGAGCCAACGGGACTATCCACCTCCATCAAGAGAAGTATGTGAAGGGGGTAGTGGAGAGCTTCGGCATGGGCAATAGCAAACCGGTGGGAACACCACTAGCTACGGGGTTCTCTTGCCTCACGGGAGAGGAAGAATCCACCCTCGATGAAGCCGAAGGGAAGCGGTTTCATTCGCTAGTGGGCTCGCTCATGTATGCCGCCGTTTCTACTCGTCCCGACCTCGCATACGCCGCCGGGGTGCTTGGACGAGTCGTGAGCAACCCTCATACCGAGCATGTACGCGCGGGAGGACGCGTTCTACGCTACCTCCAAGGCACACCTAACTTGGGGCTCGTGTATGAAGCCGGCCCAATTGAACTCAAGGGCTATGCGGACTCGGACTACGCGGGAGATCCGAGCACGCGCAAGAGTACCTCCGGGTACGTCTTCACCTTGCTTGGGGCAGCCGTGAGTTGGCAAAGCAAGAAGCAACCAACCGTGGCTCTAAGCTCAACGGAAGCGGAGTATATGGCACTCACTCAAGGTGCCATGGAGGCGATATGGTTACGGCGTCTTCTAGCGGAGCTTGGGCATCCTCAAACGAAGCCAACTCCTCTCTATTGTGACAACCAAGCCGCCATAAGCCTCTCTCACAACGCCGTCCTTCACGGGCGAACCAAGCACATTGAAGTGAAGCATCACTTCATTCGTGAGGCGGTTGAGAAGGGTGAGGTCAAACTCACTTTCATAAGCACCAAAGCTCAACCCGCGGACTTCCTCACCAAACCACTCCCTAAGGATTCATTCCGTGCATGCTGTGAGCGTGTTGGATTGAACTTCTAGTGGCTTGGGTGCAAGGGGGAGTGTTGGAGGTTGCGTGTGGGGGAGGGGTTGCCCCCAACCACCGAATGTGTTGCTTCCGAATGTGTTCATTGCAGGTTTCGTGAAGTTGTGGGTTGACTTTGGAAGACCCACTCAAGTGATGCCACATGGCAGCATCAGGAAGAATCGAGGTTGAAGAGAAATTCGGTTCGGTGAAATTCGGGTACCGAATTTCACCCCTTCGAATTTGTTACGCGAATGTTCGCGATACACCTCGTAGTGCCTAGAATGTTACATGTGCGATTCGAGAAATTCCAGTTGCTATAAATGTGCTCGACTTGTATGCATGTTTCATACTGAAAAACAGAGTTCATTGTACACAGTGCAATTCGACCAAAATCCAGAGAGCTCCTATCTTTGAGTCTAAGGGCACTACCTAGCACATAAACAGCTATATCTCACTCGATACTTGGGCGTTCGAGGTGATCTACGGCTCGTTGGAAAGCTACAAGAGTGCTCTACTGCTTAGTACAACCTAGAGTTCCTGTTAACTAGAGGTCACGCCTCTACATCACATGGCACAGAGATGAGGTGAAGCAGCTGCCAGGAACTCTAGCTCAAACTGTCTGTCCTCTAGGACGTCACAGCCAAGGGCAGACTCACTCCCAGCGGACAGAGGACGGACAGGAGGAGCGGCCACAACACGAGTGGCGTAGTCAAGGCGACGCGTAGCAGTAAAGTTAGTGACGGCGGCAGTGAGGACCGCGACGGAGGAAGGAGAGGCACGAGGGTCGGTAACAAGAGAGGCGAGAACACGAGAGAGAGTGGGGCGGTACGCGCGGTAGTAGTCAGTGACCGGAGTGGACAGGGAGGCAGTGAGGGACGACTCAGGAGGACGAGGAAGGACAGACGGAGGAGAACGAGGAGGACTAGGACGAAACAACACGGTACGGAGGTCAGTGACAGGGGACGAGGGACGAGCACGAGGAGGACGAGAGGCCCAAGTGTGGGCGAGAGGAGGGGGGGACGGAGGAGACCGAGAACGAGGGAAGACAGCCGGAGTGGAGCCCTTATTTCCCATTTGACAATAAGACCCTAGGGTCTTATGATAATCACCCCTAAAAAGGCTGGGGGGTATAATTAAATGGTGTATTTTTTATAAGACCCGGGTCTTTTCATTTTGACATTTATAAGAATGTAGATTTGGAGCTCAAAGGAGTGATTTGTAATTGCTCCGTTTTTAACTCCTCCCGAAAATACTCGAATTGGTCTCCACACGGGCCGAACCCACGTCATCAAAATCCTTATCTGGGAGCCTCCTCCCATTGGCCACCAACACCACTTGGTGTTCACACGACAGCGCAGGGCACCGTTTGATGGCCCAGCGCGTAGTGTCGCCTCGGCCTTCACACCCCATGCACGCTTCGTGCGGGCTGCACATGGGTGTGCATGTGCGTTCATGGGTGTGATTTCTCTAAATCAACATGGAATATGACAATTTTCACTTGCATTTTCGTAAAATCTGCACTTCTCTAGGATGCGGGGGGGAGTCTTATAATGTTAGGAGCTATTTAGGGGGGTATAACTTAGATGTACTCGAATAGAGTACCCGGATCCGTATTATAGACCCGGGGGTCTAAAACGCGGGGGGGGGGGGGGGGGGGGGGGGGGGGGGGGGGGTCCTATATTACGGGTAAGCTTTTGAAATCGTTTCTACATGGTGTATTGTGACTAACTTTGCACCCAGCCCTTATTCAACCGAACCAGGCAAGGGGTTCGGTTCAACCAGATCGATTACCTTGGTTTGGTTTCGTGTCCAACGAAGGTCACGCACTCTTTCGCTACGGCGAAAAACTACGCCCACGTCAAATGTTGGCGACCAGGCGAATCACAGTTACAGATTCGGGCCTTGTTGAATGATTTGGCATGTAAAGTCGCGATGGAGATTCGGGCAGCAATCACAGTTACAGGTTTCGCCGAAAACAGCTTCGGCAGCTCGTTTCGTTTGTCAGGCTCCGACCATTTCTGTGTGGGAAATGCTCACCTCACATCAGTAAGGAAGGCGGGGGATTGCTTAGCACCTAATTCAACCACTCTGTATACGTTTTCGAGCTTTCTAAACGTAAAGCACATGATGAAGCCGCACTCGTTTACCTTGTGATCGTCACCCACACCTAGCTAGAACACCTTGCGATAGTCACTCGGGACTACAAGGTCGTTTACCTTAGTGATCATCGCACATGAGCTAGTTCCTAGCTAAAATAGCAGCTCGAGATAGTGTTCCATCATAGCTGCTTCAGATTTCGATGATCGAATTCTTACAAGTGAACTCGACTTCACGTTTCGCGTCAAGGTTAGCGAGGGTCAAGGCATACACGAGGAGTTCAGCAAAATCGACGTAGGCAACGGAAAGGGATTCATGAACTTCTGCGCCGCCTCGCGTAGATCAGCCCGCCGTTGGCTATGGCTAGTCCTACCTCAAACCTCACGGCCATTGATAGATCCGATTTCCAGATATATCACTTGTGAGACGTTTCAAATGCAACAAATCGCATCGCGATTTTCTGTTCCTTCCTCGCCAAGCCTCGATCGGATCGGATCGAATCCAAACGAACCAGCGCGAAACGAGTCTTCTCAACTCCGAAACCCAGACCGAAGCTTCGAGGCGCCTCAAGAGACCTTATCATCCCACGTCCGAAGCTTCGCGGCATGGTCTGCTGCTGGCGCGTCTTTCAGGCCAGCAAACGCAAAAGCTTCCGAGACGGAGACTGCTTACTCTGGGCCGAAATCACTTCCCAGGAGCAAGACTCTAGTAGCGGTGCAAGCGGACCTTAAAACGCGTACAGTGAAGGACGAGGATAGGGGGGATGCGGGAGGAGGTCAGGGGAGCATCAGGGGAGTGGGTGAAGAGGAGGGGGGAGAAACGGGAGGTGGAGGTCAGAGGGGTGAAAGGAGGGCAAGGAATGCAGAGGGGAAGAGCAAGGGAGGCTGGGGGATGAGTAATGGGACGGGAGGCTCGGAGGAGGAGGAGGCGGCAGTGGCATTGATAGCTGGAGTGCTGAGAGATAAGTTTGGGCCTCAGATTGTGAGAGAGGAGTGGGGGAGTGTGATAGGAAGCAGCGAGGATGAAGAGGAGGAGGAGATAGTGAAAGAGGAGGAGGAGGAAGAGGAGGAGGAGGAGGAGGAGGAGGAGGAGGAGGAGGAGGCGAGGGTAGAAGGAGTCGGGAAGGAAGCTGAAGCAGAATTGAGTGAGGAGGACACAGCACCCTCGCATCTCCCGCCCACCACATCTCCTCCCACAACCCCTCCTCCACGCAAGAGCCGGCGGGTCGTATCTCCCTCCTCCCTCCTCTCCCTCCACCACTTCTTCTCCTCCTGCCTCGGCATCTCCTCCCCTTCCAGTGTCGCTTCCCTCCTCGCCTCCCACCCTGCCCTCCTCCGCTCCAATCCCACCAATGACCTCCTGCCACGTGTCCGTCTGCTACAGTCATATGGAATATCTCGTGCCGACATTGCCTTCGTGACTGAGAAAGGGCCAGCCTGGCTCCGAATCCCTCTTCATCAACTTCAAAACACCCTTGAGTTTCTCTTGGCTCATGGCGTCCAGCGCAGCAGATTGGGCTCGGTGCTGCGACGTGGACGCAATGTACTCTGCTCAGAGGCGCGTTCAACGATCCTGGACCTTCTGGTGGAGAGAGCAGGGGTTCCTGTGGACAAGCTGGGTTTGATTATTGAGAGAAGTCCGGACATCTTGACTCGGAGCAAAGAAGCGGTGAATAAGCAGCTTGAGACGATATCACTCTTTTTGGAAGCGAGATCTGGAGGGAAGGTAGAAACAGATAGGACCAGCACATCCCTCCTGAAGCAGCAACTAGATGAGTCGCGGTCCTTGACTTCCCCAAACACCTCCTTTATTGCGACCTCTGTGCTTTGGCGGGCCCCCGCCATCTTCAAATTTACCACAGAAACTCTTTTAGCTAAGCTCCAGTTCTTTGTGGAGCTGGTGGGGGAGGAGGCAGCGGGAAGAGTGGCGAGGAGATACCCGGAAATTCTGCAACTATCGAAGGAGAACGTACAAGGGAAGGTGACGGTGTTGGGTGATTTGATTGGCCGTGAGAATGCTGTGCGGGTGGTGGCACAATATCCTTTGCTACTAACTTCTAGTGAAGATAACATGAAGGAAAGTTTCAGAGGGCTTGTGCGAGAAGTGGAAGAGGCGTTGGAGAGCAGTGGAGAAGAGGGAAGTGGAGAACAAATTTTGGTGAAAGGCGAAAGTGGTAGTTTCTTGGAAGGTGGGGATGAGTTTCGATTGTTTAATTCAGCCAAAGGTGACAAAGGGTGTAGGGCTCGTGAGCTGGTGGTGGGTTTAGTGATGAAGTATCCAACTTGTATCCATTGTAGTTGGAGAGAGAACCTGAAGCCCAAGGTGGAGTACTTAAAACGGGACATGGGGCTCTCTATAATGGAGGTTCTTGCCTACCCTCCCTTTCTTGGGTTGAGTCTGGATCGGCGAATCAGAGCACGGCATGTGGCACTGGTGCGAATGGGCTATGTAGTTGTGCCACACGAGTTGGTTTGTCGGACGAGTGTTAGAGGCAGGGGGGAAGTTTCGATTGGAGCTGGGCAGCAAAGGAACAAGCTGGGCTCTGCTTGCTCCTCACTTTCTGACGAAGTGAAGGGAGTGAAGGGGATTGAATGGGGAGCGGAAGAAAGAAAGAGCGTAAGAACGGGCGATAGGAAAGAGCAGCAGTGCAAATGGGAGGAGGATGGTGGTAGGGAACTGCCGCTTGAGGAATTTCTTGGCGATCACGAGCCAGGGGGAGAGCAGCTGCTACAGAGCAGCAGCTTGTGAAGTTGGAGGGGACAAAGAGAGCCGTGTGTTTGCGCCAATTTCTCCACTTTCCAGACAAGCAGTTTGAGGAGAAGTTTGGGGTCACACTGTAGGGCTGGTGCTGGTATGTGCTCCAGTTCTGTGGCTTCCAATGAATGATAAGGTACAATCTTCTGGGGATGGGAAGAGGGGAGCGTCAATAGGGAGAAACAATAGCTGGTGGAAGGCAATTGTGGCAGGGGCGGTAGGGGATCCTGTCCTATGGGCTCTGCTTTTCTCTCTAGTTTCTCTTAAAGCAGGTGGTGGAGGGGAGGTTGAAGGGGTATTAGCAGAAATAGCAGCAGCAGGAGGAGGAGGCAGAGGGGATAGCGTGAGTGCTGGAGCCTCGCTGCTGGGTCCGTTGTTGCTGCCTGATGGGACCGGAGGGGGTGTGGCTGCTACATCTGCCTCTGCTCTGCTATAGCTGCCTCTGCCACAGCTGCCTCTGCTACAGCTGCCTCTGCTACAGCCGCTGCAGCCCTCCCCCTGCTGGGCCTGCTGCAGCTGTTTCTGTGGGTGGCGGTTGTCCCCAGCTGTAGCAGAGGAGCTGCTGTTCAGACGGCCGCTGCTCACGGGCCTGCAAGAGAGGCTCGGCAAGTGAGAGGCTTGGCAGGGGGTAGTCGTTCCTTGTCGTCGCCCTTGCAGATTTTTTAGGCGCCTCAAAAGTGGTTCCTTGTCGACGCCTTCCCAGATCCTTTTTCAAAAGAGTGAGCCTCCTGTTGTCGTGTCCCCTCCCCACTGCCACACCTTCTGCCTCATCTGGTCTCCAACTCCCCTACGACCACCCCTTCTCTCTACTGCCCCGCCGTTCTTCCCAGTGCTAGTGCCCCCTCCCTCCCCTGCTCCTGCCCCCTCGCCATCCCATTGTGTCTCCGCTAGCCTTCCAGTCCTCACTCCTATGAACACTCCTTGTCTATCTTCCCTCCTCCGTCCTGGTCCCGTGCAGGTGGGTAGTCTCCGTTGTTGCACCCCCGCCTGTGCCATCGGACTCTGAGGCATACAGGGAGGGAGGAATACGCTCGCCTGCAGGCAGCCTACCAGCCTGCATCGTGCAGGTTGATTCAGCTTAATAACTCTTTCATTTTCATCTCCCCCGCTGCTTGTTCATCCTGGTCAAAGCTCGCATTTGAATATTGTCCCTTAGATTTTTTGGTTGTTCAAAATAACAAGCCTCGATGGCGCAGTCGGTAGCGCGTAGGTCTCATAGCATTCCGACTCCCACTCTGCTGGGCGGAGCCATCCTAAGGTCGTGAGTTCGATCCTCACTCGGGGCATACATTTCATTGATGGTAACTGCTACTGGCAGCTCTGAATATGGAGGTGCCAATAGCAATGACAGTAGGATCAGAGCCAGTGCTAATTGCAGACCGTTTCTTTCTTTGTTTTTCGCCTTTTACCACCTCCCCAACCACGCAGACCCTCTTTCCGCCTAACTAGAGGCTGCTATAGCAGCGGCAGTGCCAGTGGTGACAGCAAGGGCTCAACCTGGCTCTAGTGTGGATGAGAGGAGGCTGTTGGAGGGGAGGGATGTGAGGGAGAGAAAGAGACTGCTTGGAGTGATGGGAGGAGGGAAGGAGAAAAGAGGGGAGGGAGGGGAGGAAAAGGGGGGGAGGAGGAAAGGGGGGAGGAGAAAAGGGGGTAGGAGAAAAGTGGGGAGGGAGGGGAGGAGAAAAGAGGGCAGGGAGGGAGAGGGATGGTGCGGTGTTGGGGTGGAGGCAGACCGGTTCTCTGGAGTGGAGAGCAGGTAGAGGGGAACTGGGGTCGGAGAGGGGTGTGAATGATGAGGGAAAGAAGGGGAAAGAGGGAGGGAAGCTGGGGGGTAAAGGTGGAGAGAAGGAGGGAAGGGTTGAAGGTTGGAGGTTGGGCACGTGAATGGACTGCTGCTGGGTATAGGGGACATGTGTCGCGACACTATTGGCTCTCCAAGTTATATACCAGCAGCAGCAGCAGCAGCAGCCAAGCAGAAGTCGTTAGACACGTGTCTAGACGCTCTTTTCTATCTGCTCTCTGTTCTGCGCTCGCTCCCTTTCCGTTCCCGCTCGTTGCTACTCAACGACAAACGATGCGATACTCTTTGATGCAGCAGTGATGTCTATCACAGAAGGTGGGAATGGTGCTGCCATCGCTGCTTCCGGTACAGTCGCTGCTGGTGGTAGTGATGGTGGTGGCTCTTCTGATGTTGCTGTTGCGGTGACAGATACTGCTATTGGCAGTGATGGGAGCAGTACTCATAGCGGCAGTGAACAAGGGAGCAGAAGCAGCACACATGCGAAGCCTCTCACTGCTGCAGCACCCCTGCTCTCCCTCCTGACTGCCATGGGGGTTCAGGTCTGGAAAGAGAGAGAGGAGGGGAGTGAGGGATCGGGGTGGACAGTCGGGGTGAAGGAGAGGGAAGCTGAAGGTGAAGAGGGGGCCATTGCACAAGAGAGGAATAAAAAGGGGGAAGTAGCAGCAGGGGTGGAAGGTTGGAGGTATGGAAAAGGGGCTGTGGTGGCAGCTATGGCGATGCAGGCAGCACAGGAGGTGCTGCCACGTGTCAAGCAGGCATAGGAGCAGATGGGGGCAGGGAATGGTGGGGATGGAGATGCGGCGTGGCTGCAGGCATTGATGCAGCATGCGAGGGTGTGTGGCGGCTGGGTGTCCGCTCATGGGGGGAGATGGGATTGTGGCACCCAAAGAGATGGTGAGATGGGATTGTGTGGTTCTGGATGACAGACTTTTCTCTGTTTCACTGAGTGTCAGCTGAGGGAAGAGAACGCACCGAGTGAGATGGTGAGATGGGTGTGTTAGTATCACGTTTGAGAACTCCCATAAGTGATGGTGGAGCGTGTGCTGGTATCAGTTCTGAGAACCTCAAGTCAAGGTGAGATGGGAATGTGCAGAATTGACTCTGTTTCACTTGTGCCAAGGGTGGGATGGCAGGGTTGGGGCTCGACTCACTCAGTGGATGCTCTTACTCTGCACCATGAGTGTACGTGTCTCAGCTGATACGGCGACTTTTTAGTTTACTTTTTAAAAAAACGTCCAAGTTGGCGAATGCCCTCTCACTCATGACTTCACGCGTGTCAGTCAGCTGATGGGGATTAAGCGATGGGATGGTGGGATGAGTGGGTTTGGCTGCGATGGCAGGGTTGAATTGACAATGTTTCACTGGGTTGATGTCATCCCAACGGCTCATGGGAGACTGCATCGAATGTGATGGGTGTGGCTGATAAGGTTCGTGACCTGCTCAACGTGAAGGTGAATAGGACGGGATGCCGTCGTTGTGCATGCTACCAGGAGCCATGAGCATCCGTCCATCCTTCCATCTGTCTGCCCACCGTCCCAGGCCGTATCGGCATGCGATGCATCTAATCACACCAAATGGCTGCACCATTAGGGAGGGAAAGGTATGCCGTTATGAGTTGCCATACCATGTCGTGCAATGCCCGCCATGCCATGGCGTACCATGGCGTGCCATGCCATGCCGTGCCATGCCGTGCCGTGCCACCTGATGTCATTCCACGCTATTCATGTGCTTCGTTGTGAATGCAATCTTGAGCTGCATCCAGTTCATAACATCAGACCAAAGGTTCTTGTCTTTTTGTGAACGGTCTTATTGGAGTTATTTTTGAGAAATATATAAAATGACCCCAAACGTTGTCTTTTTGTGAACGGTCTTATTGGAGTTATTTTTGAGAAATATCTAAAATGACCCCAAACGTTGTCTTTTGTGAACAAACTTATTGGAGTTACTTATGAGAAATATCTAAAATGGCTCTAACCGTTCTTGTCTCTTTGTGAACGTTCTTATTGTTCCGGGGGCAATCCCTTCAAGTGCCTGGCTACAGTACTGGCTCAGTGGCGCTGCTCCTGTTACAGTCACCATGTACTCAATCACATCGGCAAACGATTGCCCAGAGAGGGACCCCTGCTGCTGGTGAGTCTCGCATGAGCTTAAGAGACATGAATGGTCATGAGACATGAGTGGTCAGGAGACATGAATGGTCATGAGACATGAGTGGTCAGGAGACATGAATGGTCATGAATGGTCATGAATGGTCATGAATGGTCATGAGACATGAATGGTCATGAGACATGAGTGGTCAGGAGACATGAATGGTCATGAGACATGAATGGTCGAGACATAAATGGTCACGAGACATGAATGGTTATGAGAATAAAAGCCATTCGTGTTTCTTGGCTGTGCTAAACCACCTTTCGCTTAAACCATCATACAATACAAGTTTCTGATGAGCACATGCTCTCACCCACACATCCCTTTCACTGTCTCAGGTCACTCCGAGCCAGCAAAGATGGCGGAAAAACTGGGAGCATACTGGTCTAACATGCTGGTGTGCAATTCAGCAGCAGGCATCAGACTCGAGTGTTTCCGATCAGCCCAACCAAGCAAACCTCACCAACTCTGTTCGGGTGCGGCTTTGCTGCACCAACTCTGTTCCGGTACAGCTGTGCCCCAAAATTCTGTTCAGGCTACCAAACCAGAACTAGACTTATAGAGGTGTGTACCTTTTTCTGCAGCCATGCATCCCCTATGGGTGTGCGTTGCTATATAGATTTGCACTGTTTCATCTAAAGCGCCTGTTTGTTGCATATTGTTCCTGTTAAGTCCTTCCTCTTTTGCGTCAAACCGTATCAGGGTGATTCTGGCTTTCAAAAAGGCAGGGGTACATAACCTCCGAGGTGACTACCATATGTTCCACAAAAATTCTGGTAATTTATTGCTCTGGCCATTCTCTCCACTCCCTTAAATTGTCTTGCAGGCTTGTCATCTCAGACGACTTTTGAGGCGCCTCAAAAGTCATCTCAGTTGTCCGAGACCCGTCCTGCAGCTGCCTTCAGCTATCATGCTTTGACCTTGACGCTGCACGCCAGCAGCCTCTGCAGACAAGAAATCAGAATACACCCACAAGCACAGGAGTTGCGGACAGAAGAAGTCAAGCAGTCAATAATGAAGACGTATCAATGTCTTGAGCAATGAGGCCACCATCACCAGTGGTTACTGCAGCAGCCGCTGCAGCGGCAGGAGCAGCAGCAGCAGTGCGAGAGCAATTTCCTGTGGCATTATGTAAAGAGTTTCAACGTCTGGTGGTGGAACAGAAGGTGCCTGCAAATGAGGCAGCTGGGCAAGCTCTGAAGCATGTGCACGAGAGAATGAGTCAGGGGAAGCTGTGAGCATGTAGGGCCACGGTTGAAAGACAATGCAAGTTGTCAAGGCCATATTCATGCATCGTTTGTGCATTCTGACACATACTTGTCTATAATCACCTAAATCACATCACTATATCAGCCCAGTCTGCCATTTCATCAGTGCATTCTCAAGTTTGATGTCACGTGATCTAGCTAGACAGATTCAGCAAGACAATAGCTAAAAATCCTGCGGCAAACCATGATGCATCACTTGTCAGAGGTCCACTGGAGATCCCCGATGATCCTAGGGAAGGGTTACAGGCCCGTTGGCCTGGGGGGTTATGGGCGCACTCACCCACTACACAAACAAGCCCTTTTATCCCAGTGGTTAGTGGCTGGGATTCTGACATGGTATCAGAGCGAAGGTCTCGGGTTCGATTCCCGGTGTGTGCACTTCGGGCATCCCAGTGCGGGGGGGTGTCAGAGGTCCACTGGAGATCCCCGATGATCCTAGGGAAGGGTTACAGGCCCGTTGGCCTGGGGGGTTATGGGCGCACTCACCCGCTATATAAACAAGCCATTTTATCCCAATGGTTAGTGGCTGGGATTCTGACATCACTCATGTGGGAGTTCAAACACCCTTGGTGTCAACATCCTCAGCTTCTCCAGCATCGTTGGTCCAGGCCCCTAGTTTCGTTTTGAGCTTGTCTGAGGCCTCAGAGTACACCCATCTTCCTAGTCTGGCTGTCAGAGTTGACCAAATTTTTAAGTCTGAAAGTTCAGAGTTCACCAACTTTTCAACGCTGATCAAACAGACTAGCACTCAAAAGTATACTCTTGCTTAAAAACACCAACTAACAATTCTTACATGTCTGCATTAGAGTATTGAGAATCTACAAGAGCACGTTCTACTACTACTGGCTCATCTACATGCTCCTTCCCAGCCCTTGGGGGCTCCTCCCTGTGCCTTGAAGCAGGTGCTGTGACCGGCCGGCGCTTCTTGTAGGCGCGCCAAATCTCGACTACTCCTGGGACGTCTAGCTCATAGTCTAGCATTGAGATGCATAGCAGATCACTCAGCCTACAATCCTTTATGCTGCCCCTCTGCCACGTTTTGATCAGGTTCTGTCGGGAGAAGCCTCGCTCACACTCGACCGTGCTGAGAGGCAGCACGGCAATCGCCACCCAGAGTCCGACGAGGTTGGGGTACGCCTGCTGCCAATCGGGTGTCCTGAGAATTGCGGTAAGTCCCGTGTGGAACTTACGCTCACTCTTCAGCGCTCTGGCAAGAACTGGACACAGCGTTCGAAGCTCCCGCACGGCTTTCTTCTTGTCAATGCCTGCAAGGTATAAGAGGACACGGTTAGTTTAAAGCCCTGAGGGAGGGGGACCCGGGTTACACTTAACACTAACCTGGTAGGATCTTGTCGGCTTCATCTGCGCGGAACAACGTGACAAGCGACAAGAGTCACTCCAAGCACTGTGCCTGCCGTGCGTCCCGGTCCCATTGCGGTTGCCACAGGTCTGGGATAAACAGCCGCACACCAGAAAGAGACTCAAGATCGCCAAGCTTGGACTGCAGGTTCTCGACGACATGCTCGGCCATGTCGGTGCAGAGCGCCACGCACGCGTCGTGGTGGCCGGGCCCAAGGTAGTTTTTGTTGGTCAGCTCGTGAAGTACCACCTTGAAGCGGTTGAGGTAGCCGTCGGACGATGCTCCCTCGATCACCATTTCAGGTGACCCACGTGGTCCGTGCTTCTTGATGAAGCGGTAGAGCCTCTCGGTTGGCCCTCCCCCGAAGTCGTCACCAGCGTCGACGTACCGGCTCTCCAAGATCGATGTCGTGCGCACAATCTGCGTGTGCACCAGCGCGTAGTCGAGCTGCAACCAACACAATCAGAATACGTTAGTACACAGCTGATGACTTTGAGACGAAAACATGCAACATAATATAATAACTTACCTCCCGCTTCTGGAAAACCGAGGAGAGAACGTTGAGCTGCCCAGTAGGTCCGCGAGGAACCTGATGAGGAACTGGAACTTGTACGACGTGACGATTTCGTACATCGTCTGGTCCTTCCACTCCGACAGCATCACCATGATCGCTGGAAGGACGTGGACGAACCGGGTGACTGCAGCTCCTCTTGAATGCCACCGCAAGTCGTGTATGCCTTGGACCTCGAGGTTGGTGGAGATGAACACCTCCTGCAGCTCCATGAATGTGAGAGGACGTCCCCGTTATAATATTTTCTCATTATTATATTTTTCCTTCATCTTATTCTCATTTTTCTCCTCTTTATTTTGGTCTTTATTTCATCTCAATCGGCCTACTATTCTATTTTCTAGAGCCTTCTCTTTATTTCACTTATTTCCTATTTTTCCCACCGACATATATATATTATACGGCACCGACAGCGCCGACAGTGGTGTATAAGGTGTAATCTGGGTGTAATCCCAAGTGCCAATAGCCTTGCGTGCTTGTGCGCACTTGTGATTGTAGTATCGGGAAGGGCGTGTTCCCTTTCTATGTTCGTTTTATCTCGTTTTCATTGTAATTCCGAGTATAAATACGCCTTGTATTCAATTTTAGTGACACGTTCGAATGAGAATTCGATCAGTGACACTTGGTAATTAGAGCCGTTCTCACTCGACAACTCTCGGCTAAGCAGCGGTCGAGGAAGAAATCGCCTCGAAAAACCGCCGGGGGCGACCAATTCGACGCCGATTTCTGGTAAGCACCAGTTCCGCGATTTCGAATTAACCCCCTCGCGTGGTTTCTGAACAGGATGGGTTCGCCGGCGACTAACGACGTTACGCAGCAGCTCTTCGCGCAAATCGCCAAAATGGAAGCGGAGATGCGAGCTACGACGGAGCAGTCGCGATTGGAGAACGAGCAGCTGCGAAATGAACTGCAGCGTGTTACGCAGCTTCTCCCGAGCAAGAACTTTCCTGCTTCGGCGACTTCGCAGCAGTCGCAGCGTCAATTTGAGGTTCCGAAACTTCGCTCGCCTGAATCGTTCGACCCTAGCGATCGAAAATCCGACGTCAGGCGGTGGCTCGCGACGATCGAAATATATTTTGCGGCGATCGGATGGTCGACGACGGAGTACGACGGCGACGTTGATGCGCGGTCCAGCTCTCGAGTGGCTCGGAAGCAACAGTAGGGTCCTCCAGGGCGAAGCCACGTGGCAGCAGTTCCGGGCAGACCTGCTCAAACGTTTTGAGCCGATTAATTCTACTTGCATTGCGCGAGAAAAATTACATCACCATCGGCAATACGGGACTGTCGCGCAATACACGCAGCAAATGGAAGAATTTTACAACCGCATTCCCGACATTACCGAGGGTGAAAAAATTCAGTCCTACATCGCGGGGCTGAAAAACGACATTCGTCGCCAGGTTGCAGCAGCGAATTGCAGCAGCTACAGCGAAATCGTTTCGGCTGTGGAGCGTTTTGACTTGGTCAACGCCGGAACACGACGTCCTCATGTCGTCGAATCACGACAAGAAGATCGCTCGGCTTCAACCACGTTCGCCGACCCCATGGAAGTCGACAAATTCGACGCGAAGTCACGTCCTGCAAAAAACAAAACGATTTGCGATTTTTGCGGCGGAAACGGACATCGCATTGTCGACTGTCTTCACATGAAATCTGCACGTGCGGCATTCCGAGCTCGAGGGAGTGGCGAAACTAAGAACAAAAAGTAAAAAAAACGGATCTCGCCAGTAATCTCGGATCGTGTTGGCGAGGAGAAGAAGATCCGAAAGCGGCAGCGCAATCTTGACCAAATCAAAATTCGAGGAATACATTGGGCGCAAGATTTGGAGAATCCAGAGCGAAATCCCAAGCCCCTGGACCGAAATTTGTCAGAGGGACTCGCCGAGGAAAAGTAAACCTCCGCGAAAACAGACCCGACCAAGACGGGAACTCTCCAATTCGACCCCGGAAAAAAAACAGAATTCGTTAAAGTTATCTTTCAAAGATGCTTTAATGAAGACTGATGATTTTCGCGGGTCCGGAGCCATAAAAAAATTCCGTGAAGAACTCCAGAAGAAGCAGATGATTAAAAAAAGTGGTACCGGTGCCTACGGAGCTGGGGAAAAAATTAAGGAGTGTGGAAAGGAGCAGGCCTTTCCACGGCGTCAACGTCTTCTCCCGGAACCAGCCCAAGACGACTCTCCACTCCCCAGGGAAGAAGTCTATGGAGCTGAAGCATCTTAGGAGGCAGCTGGGAGTTAAAATGAAGCTGCGTAAACTTCAAAAACCTCTCCAGTGGATCGCAGGCGTGGACCGGATCCACCCCCTCAGGGTCAACCACCACGGTGACTACCTCTACTTCTGGCGTTGGAGAGGAGCCTTTCTCCACGCAGCCCAGGCCAGCTGTTAGTCCAGGAGCAAGCAGTGGAACCACGGTGTGTACTGAATATTGGGATGTACCCTATGATCCTATTAATGAAACTATTTTTGGGTACTCCGAGCAACGCTCACCACTCCTGCTCGAGGTGATCTGCAACGGACAGCGCCTCCAAGCACTCGTGGACAGCGGAGCATCGCACAGCGTCTACAAAAAAAAAGGCAATCGATCGTCTCGGAGGTGAAATCAAGTCCTCAAGCTTCTCGGCAACGATGACGAACGGCAGTAAGCTACCGATCTACGGGGAAACACGGTTACTACTACAGATTGGACCCCTGCGATGGAAGCCTGCCCTCCCCTTCACAAATAT